AGCCCGATGGGGACATGAAGTTCAGAAGACATGCAAGGCCAGAACACAACCGGATTTGTTGTACTTATCTCCTGAGCTGCAACATTGTTTGGTGGACATTACAGTGCTGCCTGATTTCTTCGCTGATCATGCAGTCCTAATTGGAGTATTTACTGGCCTGAGAAGTCAGATTCCAAGGTCCTTTTGGCGCATGCCGCAGAAGCCCTCGTGGCAATCAGACTTGGGGAGTAAACCATTTGCAACTGATGGGGGATACTCTTTTGATCGGGATGACCCCTCGGCTTGGTATCAGGGCATTTTTCGCCAGTTCGAATGTGACCTGAGAGGACAGACTGAGGTGGCTCAATTGGGCCCTTTTTGCAGAGCACATGGAGGCCGTGCAAGTACCACACAGGTGCAAGTGCGTTCGACTCAAGTTCCACTGGTTCGCAAGGGCCGACCAGGGGATGAACTTCCGGATTTCTTTGGTCCGTCCCGTCTACACGCTCAGTGGTTTCGTCAGTTGAGGAGGCTTCAGGCCTATTATAGGTTACTAGACCGGGAGTCGATGACCATTTCCCAAGTTCAACAGCAAAGCGAGCTTTGGCGGGCGATCCGACATGCTCCTGGTTTTGGACCGGGATTTGCACATTGGTGGGCATTGCATGGCGTTGGCTTGGAAGGGGCTCCTGACTGCATTCCATTGGTCCCTCCATTGTATGATCTGGCGTATGCCCTCTTTGATTGCTTTCGTAGCAAGGTTCGTAGTCTGGAACATCAGCTGAAATGGACTAGAGTTCGACGGGCACACCAACGTCGCTTGGAAGATCCTAGCCTCATTTTTCGGGACATCAAAGATGAGAAGGCCGCTTCAGTGGAGGTGTTGATACAGACAGTTTCATGCGAAGTGGAGGCAGTTGATCATGAGGAATCTGCCGTGGTCCTGCGAACAGAGACTGCATTCCAAGCGGAGTCGTCAGTGGTAGTGGCTGGCAGATCTCGCACCCTGATTCATGCGACCCCGGACAAACTCTGGGTTGATGACGTGTCGGGGGTTGTGCCTGGCACGTTTGTCAGACAAGAAACTGCCACGGGTGACCTTCCTTCACTGTTTCGAGCATTTGGCAACGAATGGGAAAAATGGTGGCACAGAAACTCTGACAATCTGCCTGATCGATGGCTGCGGGTCCAGTCTGAGATTCTTCCTCTGCTTTCGGGTCATCCCATGCACTTGGACGCTATCACATTGCCACAATGGCGCAGGGCAGTTCAAACAAAGAAGAAACACTCGGCCACTGGTCCAGATGGAGTCAGTCGACTTGATCTATTACAGCTTCCAGATGGTTTGACTCAAGAGTTGCTTGACCTGTGCCATCATGCTGAGCGAAGTGGGTCTTGGCCTCGACAAGCGTTGGTTGGGATCATTACTGCGTTGGCAAAGATACCTGGGGCAAGCAAAGTGCAACAATTCAGACCCATCACTGTTTTGTCCATGGTATATCGAGTTTGGAGCACGATCCGAGCTCGCCAAGCCCTTTGCCATTTGGGAAAGATTGCAGGTCCCAATGTTGTTGGCAATTTGCCTGGAAAAACCGCGGGTCGGGTCTGGTTTTCCTTGCAAAGAAAGTTGGAACAAGCACAGATCTATGATAAACCCATGGTGGGGGTCGTTGCTGACCTGGTCAAAGCGTTCAACGTTCTGCCTAGGACTCCAACATGGATGATGTGTCATGCATTGGGCCTCGCAAATGGCTTGATACGTGCCTGGGCTGGTGCGGTGATTCCCCTTCAACGACATTTTCGGGTCCGTGGTTCAGTCGGACCTCCGGTCCTAGGGTGTAATGGGTTCCCCGAGGGAGATCCTTTGTCTTGTGTGGCGATGGCAGCAATTGCTATTGGATTTGACAGATGGATGCAGGCCAATGCTCCAGATAGCGTGCCAATCTCCTACGTTGACAATTGGGAAATAACAGCTTCCCATCCTCGGGACTTGCAGGTTGCTCTTCATCAATTTCGAGAGTTTGCTGACATTTTGCAGTTGGAAGTTGACTGGCAGAAAACATATGTATGGGCGACTCAGGGGTGTCATAGGCAACGGTTGCGTGAGTTGGACTTGCCATTGCAACATTGGGCCAAAGATCTGGGAGGTTGTGTTTTTTATGGGAGAAGACACACCACTGGATTACAGGCAGTGCGGTTCGAAGCTTTAACTCCATTGTGGGGTAGGCTGCGGCTTTCGTGTGCCCCCTTTTTCCAAAAATTGCGAGCGGTGCGTACAGCCGCCTGGCCTCGAGCATTGCATGCGTGTGCTTCAGTACGGATTACTGAACAACAGTTTGCTTCTCTGAGGGCGGGAGCGGTGAGAGGGCTCCATTTGGATAAGCCGGGTACCAACGCACTTTTTTTCATCCCATTAATGATCCTGAGTTTTTTGCATTCTGGCATACTTTGTTGGATTTCAGGAGGCTGCAGAATGAGCAAGAGGTCCAAATCGACTTGCACTGGATCTTGACACATCAAGAGGGTCGCTTCCCACCTGGACCATTGTGGGTTCTATTCATGGGTTGCATGAGAATACACTGGAGTTGGGATGTGGCATCCGGCTTATTGCTTGACCGCATTGGGCGATTCAGCTTATGGAGAGTTTCCCTCCGAGAGCTCGAGTTCCGGTTGGTGTTGGCGTGGCAACATATGGTGGGGACACTATGCCAGACCAGGCGAGGGTTTGCTGGGATGGAAGCAGTGGATGTTCAGTTGTCCCTGGGTCAACATCTGGCACTTACAGATGCCCAGAAAGGCCTTTTGAGAGTGGCTCATGATGGCACCTTCTTCACCCAAGATGGTCTCAAATACTCTACGCCGACGGGGGACGCTCATTGTCTTCATTGTGGAGCATTGGATAGCATTGACCATCGTGTCTGGCGGTGCCCCGCTTTTCAGCATGTTCGTGCACAGTTAGAACCCCTCCGACCTGCACAGGTTGATCAGTTGCCGGAGTGCACACGCTGGCATTGTTGGCTCCCTGCACCTGTTGAATACTTCCCGTTCCTGCGATTGTTGCATGAGATTCCAAATGTATCGCACAGGTTAGACCCGCCAGCTCCTGGTGGCATCTTGAACTTGTTTACAGATGGTAGCTGCTTGTTTCCAACATATCCTCGGCTACGGCTGGCATCTTGGGCTGTGATTCAGGCTCACTCAGACAACCACGAGGACGACTCTCAGTGTTTGGCTGGTGGGGCCCTGCATGGTTTGTGGCAAACAAGCGGGCGTGCTGAAATCGTCGCGGTGCTGGCAGCAATAAGGATTGGTAACCGATCAGGTCGACGTACCAGGATCTGGTCGGATTGTGCCAATGTGGTGAAACAAGTCCAAGTTTTGTTGGAAGCCCCTTTCGCTGGCCGACCAAATGCCAATGATGCTGATTTGTGGGAGCAGGTGGCTACAGAGCTGTCTCGGGATCATTCCATTTCTATCCATAAGGTGGCTGCGCATGTGGGCCCTGATGTGATGGGACCGGTCGAGGACTGGGCAAGGAGGCACAATACATTGGTTGATACATATGCCAAAAGCTTCAACCATGATCGGCCCACGGAATTTTGGGCCTCGTGGACCAGACTCTTGACACAGCTTCAAGAAGTTGAGAAGATTGGTGACTACATCCTCCAGCTTCATTGTGCCATTGGCGAGGAATCCATTCGCCTGAGCAAGTCCTCGCACAGCCCTCCCATTGGCAATTATCGTCCTGAAGCTCGTCTTCCTCTGGCCCAGTGCGTGACATCACCGGGTCCATCAGGGGTTCCGGAAGCAGTGCATGGTGCCTTCGGATCCCTCCATGGACTCCAGGCTCGGAGACTCTGGGCATGGTTGAAAGTGATATGCACTGGACATGTGTGGGGCAGTTGGGTCTCGCCCACTCAACTCTATGTGGATTACCAGCTGTCCTTTGGTAAGGTGGGTCCAATTTACCATTCTGACACCAGACATTGGAGCGATCCGAATTTGCCTGGATTAGAACGGCTTCGAGGCCATGAGTTTACCAAACAGGTCCAGTGGTTCAGTCGAGCTTTGAGGCTATTGCTGCAATACACGCCAGCCCCACGACCGTTCCGTTTACAACGTCCGGACTCTGCGGTGCTTTTCCATTGGTGTCAATGCATGCCGGTGGCTTGGTCTCCCTTGAGGAGGGACGGAGTTGATCAGTGGCTCCAACGCCACCTACCTGGAGGTGCCACTCGACGGCGAGCGGCAGGGTTGACATGTTTGCCGGCGGCGAGCCGGGATCCTGGGTTCGATATACCCATTCCAGAGGACCGACAAAGGTCCATTTCCAGTTGTTGGCAGTCGTCATGACTTGCCCCTGACTCACCTGTCAAGGCCGCAATAAGCCGCCTTTTCAGATCGGCGTGAAAGAGTGAAAGAGTGATGATTTTGTATTGAAAAGCAAGTTCTCACCAGGCTTGTCCTGGACTTCGCTACTACTTAGATACTAAATTAATTGGCTTTGTGTGGTTCTTATTGTCTACTTGCTGCGCAAGGTCTACTGAGAGACAGCTTCTTTTCTGGAACTTTGAGTTAGTGCCGCTAAAGACGTGCACACCAAACAGGTCACGGGTTGCAGAAAGAAACAGGCCCATGTTCAAAACACGGTCACCAGAGACACCGGTAAGCGTCTCCCGGTCTCGCTTCGGGGCCCAAAGAACCCTTCCCCCCTGCGCGTCTCGGCCCGAAGCGGCGGTTCCGGTGCAGCGGGGAACATCGTGGTGCCCCGCGCCGGGTGCACGATATAACTGACATGGTTGACAATCCTGTGATATAAAAGAGTCCATGGTTTGTCATCGGTCCATGGGTGCGATCCAAACGGGAACAAATACCAGGACCAAAGTGACCTCTTTGGAGACTCCAAGCGACCTCTTGAACTAAGTCACCTCTCATCCCGAGATCTCCGGGACGGTCTCTTTGCAAGGGCCTGGTAAGTAATTACATAGTGACACCATGTCGTCCACTCCCCCCTTCCACACCTCTGGCGGCGGATGGCGGAGCTGACCTATCGGTTCGCTTCAGCTGGATGGGATGAGATGTAGAGATCTCACGAGGACGTCCTCGTGAGACCGTGAGACAGATGCAAATGGTCAAACGGGTAGTAAGAAGTCCTCTCTCAACATAGCGCAACATCAAACTCAAGAAGAACTACTATTCAGAAGTACCTTCTCACCTTCAAACTTCACTTCAGAAGGAGATTGGGCATTTCAGGGGTCAGGAGTTACTCGTTTAGATCACTTTTGTACATGGCACCATGTAAGACCCAACCAAGACATACTATATAGTGACAGGGGGACTGACAGAAGCTTGGCTTTGTGAGAGGTCTTCAAGATTCGACAACCTGCCAACAACTGCCAACCTTTCCAAGTTGCCGAAACCTCTTCGTCTCAGCATAAAAGGAAGGATGCAAATACCGCAAATACCCGGGGAGCCTCCTTCTGGAGGTTCTCCAGTCTTCCTTCGCCCATGCATCATTCCTGCGTTGCGTTTCTTCTGTAGTGAAAGGTTGGGCGAAAGCTTCGGTGTGACCATGTGATACCAATCGAAGATGTATACTCCCAGGAATAATCGATGTGGATGACGTGGCCCTGAGTTCATCTGACCATGAATTCCGAAGAGCCAAGAAGAGCAAACAGGTGGGTTTTCACTCACTCCACTTTGATTCATTATGATTCCAGGGAGTGTGAATGAACAAATGATAAAACGTGAACATTTCTCCATTCCTGCAGTGGGCACCGAAAAGCCTTGATGCAGCCCAGGCTCGAAGGAATCTGGTTGGGTCTGGGCGAGCACATGGTGAGCTGGTCAGGCGATCTGCTAGGACCTATCTCAACTGATGATGATGATGATGATGATGATGATGATGATGATGATGATGATG